TCTTCATCATGTACTTCAAGCCGAGTACGTTCAGGTGTATTCTGCTCCGCTGGGTCCGAATGCTCGGCTTCTCCATCGTCTACGGCACAGTCACACTGAAAATGTACAGGTAGGTTGGCACATTTTGGTTGTCTGTTGATCTCTACTGCACTTTTATTACCTTTGTTGCATTCAGGGCATCTTATAACCGCACTGTAACTGTGTTCCTGGTCTGTTCTTATCTATTCATTGTCATTTTATTATATATTAATTGATTTTATTTTAGTTTATTGCATATTGATTTTGAATGCCATTCTAATGCTTTTCTTTGCCTATGTAAAGCACTTATATATATAATCTGGCTTTACATTATTATATAAACAGTAACAGACTAAATGAGTGCTTGCAGTAAATCAAACTAAACTGTTTCAAACTAAATTTAACAACTTGTTTGTGACCTTAAAGGGAGAATATGTGCACTTTTGCTCAATTTTAATGGTATGAACAGTGGCTTTATGTTAGCTAAAGTGAGCAAAAATTGCAGTGTAACTGACATTTCTGAGTTTGTCCACTGACTTTATGACTCTCCTTTTTTTTTGCTACAGGTACTCTATATTTCAAGCATGTCTCAGATAAATATTTCATGATTTTATAACACTTGCAAACGTGTACACACTTCATACTACACCAGAAAACATGTTGGTTGTTTCCTAATAGTGGAAAATGAAAATCAAATTAGTCATTTTACCTTATCTATGTTCATCAAAGGTTAAATAATCTCACTTTAAACACAAACACTGATCAGCTCTTGCCTCTGCACAGGGTGCTGAAGGTGTTCCTCTCACGCACGGCCCAGAGAGTGCCCTACATGTCCAGCCTCCACCTGCTGAGGATTCTGGGAGTGATGCTGATGACGGTCAGCTGGTTCCTGTGTGCGTGGACGGTGGGTGTCCTGCAGAACCGTGACAGGAACATCCCGGTGTTCATCACAACCACCACGTCGGACGGGCAGGGGTTCAACCTGTGCTACCTGGACCGCTGGGACTACATGATGGCTGTGGGTGAGTGGCTGCAGCCGGTGACGAGCCAACGGCGTCTGAGCTGATACAGTCCAACAATACAGTACACTTAGAAATTAATTAGATTTTATATGCTGAGAAGTTAGAATGGATAAAGCCATTTAAAAAAAACAAAAATCAACTCAATTTGCTCATATTTTTACCTTTAAATAATGGTCAATTATTAAGATAAAGACAATATTAACTTTAATGAAAACAGCACTATAAACATGAAAGATTCCAATTTTCTTACAATTATTCTGTCATTAAAAATATAAGTAATATATCTCTGTAATATATCTCTGTAATATAACAACATTGTACTCACCAAAGTCATTATTTCAGTGAAGAAGGCGTCGTCCAATGGGGCAGGAAACATGAAGGATCAGATTATCAAACAGGTTGTAAACAGTTCAGTCGGATTACTGAGACTTTATTTTAGGTAAAACCAAAAGTGAGCACAACTGAAAAGTCAGTAATAATGCCTCATTGCACAGGGAAACTAATGTAACTAGAAAAATAAATTCCTTGCAGATACCAACTGTAACTCAGATGGCAGTTTGCACATTATTTAGCATTTCAGCTGTATCAGCTTGATAAAACTTAAACAAATGCACTATTTATACCTGAGCGATAACAGTCTCCTCTGTCCTCTGTCCTCTGCCACAGCTGAGCTTCTGTTCCTGTGTTGGGGCAGCTCCCTGTGGACCGCTGTCAGACCGGTCCCCTCAGCCTTCCACGAGCCTCGCTATATGGGCATTGCCATCCACAACGAGCTGCTTCTCTCCACCATGTTTCACCTTTTCCGGTAACCAGCGAGCGTTTCTCTAAACCCTCAACCGTCAGCAGTGTATTTTTATACTCTGCATCAATGATGTGACATGATTTTGTGTTTCCCTCAGGTTCACCTTTCCCTCTCTCCATCCTGATTGGATGTTGCTGCTCTCCTTCACGCACACCCATGTGACCATCACTGTCACACTCGCCCTGCTCTTCCTTCCCAAGGTACTCAACATTTTTATGTCATAGTGCCAAAATTAATACAGTTTAGGGTAGAAAAAGGGGTCAGAGTAGAAAAACAGTTATCAATCAAGTGTTAAAAAAAGAGATTGATGGGTAATCTGATTTTCTTACTGGGTTATCCTTACTCTTCACACTTAATCTGGGTTTATTTAAATTAGATTAATGCACATGTAAACTCACCAGAAGTGTATATAATATGTAATTTATTACATATAATGGGAAGTGTTTTTGACAGGAAAGTTCATGAAAGGGAAAACGAATCCACTCTTGTCTGTCCAAGCAATGATTTTGTGAATTAAAGTGCATTTTCTCAGTCTTTCAGGATTACAAGGAGTCTTGTGTCACTTATCATCACACACCAGGAACAGAATTTGCTGGGTGGATTAAAAATGAAGAGATAACTTTATTTTTAAATCTTGAAATTCTTTTGTTTCGTTTGTCCAGAGGTCCTGCTTCAGAGAAAAGGCAGCATTGTTTAATAAATCAGAGTTTATCCTCTGTACAGTGACTGGGGACATCTCAGACTCAGCTTTACAGGCTCAGCAAAACATTGGCAAACTTGTTAGCCTCTGCTGCTTCAAGGCTCTGTAATGCCAGCTTAATGCTTGTTAGCATGTAACTCAGAATGTTATACTACAGAATGTAACTAATGTTTATTACCTTAAAACTTTATTAATTAAAAGCTGGGTCTCAATTAGACGCAGGTCTCCTTTACTAGCCTGGT